ATTTAGGGTGGGTGTGCAGACTCGTCGTGATGATTTAACATAAATTGTGGAGGGTGTTACTTTCTTTTATGACAGACGAGGATTTACGGCTTCAATTTTTGTAAGAAATTGTTGTGAAAATGAAATTTCACCTCACTTCTTCTGTGCCACCTTTCTTGGGTCCTTGTTTTTCACGTGCCGCGCGATTTTCTTCACCTCCCTCAAAAGCATTGTGTGAATGTGTCTCTCTCCCGGAATGCTTCGAATGAATTTTTAATCCCACATGCAAAAAGTGGAGGGAAAACGAATTGTCGCACGAAAGTCAAGGGAAAGCTGAGTGTCTTAAGAATTTCAATTAACATCGCTGGTAAGAGACTTTCTCAGCACTCTTGCGCTTTTGGGGGTGGCGGAGTCCCCCCTCCCCTCCCCTCTCTAAGTGGGTGCAATTTTTCATGATGGCCCAGAGCAGCAGTTCTTCTTGGGGGAGTTTTCGCACTTGCAGAGAAAATTACCCCAGCAATCTCGAACAGAGTGCTGGCGCGAGATAGGATGCATTTTGGGGAAAATGCTCGTCAGTTGAGTTGACATGACAGTGAAGCGTCGCAGCCATAATTCATACAAGATAACCGGATATTCGCGATTTTAACTGTAATCTCTGCACTTCTTCACCAACACTCCCCAGGCCAAGGATGTGAAGCACAAGAGGGAAAATCTGTGCTTCACATCCTGTTATTACTTTCAATTTGCATGCAAAAGCTCTCACACTTCTTCAACATCGACATTTTCCGACAATTTCTCCACTTACTTCTTAAAGATTTTACCAACATTTTCATATTTTCAACACTTCAGACATTTCTGGACGTTTTTAATGACTTTTTTCATCGCTTTTTAAGACTCATTCAACTGTTTCACACACTTAATTCTGACTTATCACAATATAATCGATCTTCCAGATTGTAAGAACGTAAGAACTGATCTTAATGAACAAGAATTCTTTCCATGATAAATTTCTGTCGTAATTTCCTAATTTTGTCGTCGAGAAGTGCTTAGAAAAATTCTAACTTAATCCTTTTTCGTCCAATTTTAATCGTTTAAAATCGGGAAATTTGAAAATATCATCAATATTTCAATGTTTCTACTAGAAAATGAGGTTAAAATTGACAGTTTAAAGCACAAAGAACGGGAATATTTAAGCAAAGAGATTTTTTTTAAGGTTATTTATAAATTTATTTTGAACGTAAATGCACAATTTTGCTGGGAAAAAGAGAAATATTACCAGATTTAGCACAATTATGGTGATTTTGAGGATTACTTCAACACCCAGAATCTGTTGAATTCTTCCAATTCCTAAGACTTTCTCCATGATTTTCACTTGTCACAGCGTAAAGTATTAAATTGGAGAGTGTGCTTATTATGTTGGTGGCTAGAATCTAATAAATTCATCCCCTAATATGGCAGAACATGGCAACTCTCGTGTAATGTCTCAACTTAAGATGATATGACGGCTTCCATGGCATCGCAATATCCATTCTCAGATTGTGGTACAATGTTGAGAAAAGCTACAAACTCAGGTACTAAATAACAATGTATTACTCCTTTTTATCGCCACAATAAAACTGTCGAATGGTGTGTCATATAAATATGGCCCTGAGTTAACTGCTATAGTGCTCCTGTATCACTGGTGGTCATTACTTTCAGTTACGTGTGGCTGAATTTCCACACCCACAATGTTGCGGAGAGACAAACGGAGAAACATCCTGGGCTGATAACGGAGAAAAATGTACTTTTAGACTTCACAGACGATTAATTTTTCACTCCAACCAGAGGAAAACCTATGATGAAGGTGGTGCAATTCAACCTTTTCAACCCGTGGGGAAAAAGTTGAATGGAATGTTGGCTTGTTTGTACAAATCGTCCAATATTGAAACTTTAACCAAATCAGAAGCAATGAAGGCATATTCAGCTGGGTGAATTGATGAAGTTTGGCAAAAGGCAAATACTACACATGAGAAAACCACAAAATTCAGCATGATATTCATGCCTTGTGCAGATTATTCACAGCTCTCTTTGTTCAGACAACAAGACATGCGAAATTAAAGACGAAGTCACATGAGAATTGAGTTCTTGTTCTTGTCATTTCATTTCTTGGGATTATATGCGAAGTCCTGATGAGTTTGACTCACCGGAAATGAGTGGAGAAAATCACTTGGGGATTGTGGTAAAGTTGCCATAATAAGAAAATGCTTGACATGGGCGAAGAGTGTGCACAAGAGGAAAATGGTAAACCAATTAATTTTACGATTGTGGTGAGTATTAAATGAGATGTTTTATTATATGAAATTCATGTCACATTTGTAATTTAAGACACACACACACACACAAATCCCCCGGCAAATCTCTTTGCTTTTCCCCGCGCGCGCGCGCGCGCCCGAAAAAGGATTTGCAGCTAATAATTCTCAAGCTCATTGAACCATAAAAATCAAACAACTGACCCCGAAAGAGCGAAGCTGTAAAAACTCTGGGAATTTATTGCACTAGGAAGCGCTATTTTTATGACTTTATAGTATACAAAACAGGCGCGGGTGGCGCTCATTCGCAGCGGCTGCATGTAAATTTATTCCCTCGCGAGTTATTATCATTTGTTCTGTGCCGGAGGCGATCGCCATAAAATAGCCGATAAGCAGTTTATTTGTCTCTTTTTATATCTTTCCCATTTTCCAATAAAATAATTACACTCTCGCCTCTGCTTCATCCGCAATTTGTGGGGCGAGTGGAAAAGGGTTTGTCGAACTTTGCCCTCGAGAGGTGGAATGATTTCCACCCAGGAAGTTAATTTAGAAGTGGCCACACTTTAAAATCCCCCACAAAATCATTACACCGGTAATTGAAAATGCTTAACCGCAAACATTCAACTCTCAAATGTCACTTTAAATGCACTTTTGACATCGATTTTTAGTGAATTTCCACTTTCAAAAGCCCAAATTCCCATTAATTTCCCGGCGCATTTAATGCACACACACACACACACCACAGTTGGAAAAGGAGTCAGCAAACAGTGGGAAAACTTAAAATATGCTCAATATATGGGATAAGATAAATTTTGAAACATTTGACTTGCGGCTATTGAAGTTGTAATCTCCAATGTATTTACATTTCATCTGCAATACAGAATTATTGGGACTGTATTTGAGGCATAATGGAAATGCCGCGGGGCTTTTGTCGTTTAGCAGAATCATTTTCGACAAATGGCAATTGCTACTCATCCTCTTGATGCTTGTTAGGGGACCTTGAAGCAGATCTTTATTTAATATGTCCTCTTTTTTTGAGAGGGAAACTAGCATATCGCTCAGTGAATATTTAAGCATCAATGCTTGACTTTTGGCATTCGTCACAGCATTGAGAATAGTTTCTCGTCTCTAAATTAACTCAGAAAGTACAGAATTCACAAGAAAATTAAAGAATTCTTGATGTTGACGATCCCACTTCTGAAATGTAGGCATGTGAAATTAAATATCCGCCAGTGCAAATGCATGAAAACGAATATTTAGGTATTCTTGCTTGACTCTTTGGCATTCATGACAGCATTGAGTATAGTTTCTACTCAGAAAGTCCAGAATTCACGAGAAAATTAAAGAATTCTTGATGTTGGCGATCCCACTTCTGAAATGTAGGCATGTCAAATTAAATATCCACTATTGCAAATGCTTGAAAACGAGGGGAATTGTCTTCAAACTTCTCTCAATCTTCTCTATATGCAAAGAAATTGCGAATGTGACAGAGATTCTTTCCGGGGTGTCACAAAATCTTGAGCACACAGAGAGATTGTATTACAAAATGAGTGTAACTTGTAATTCACCCCATTCCGACAGACAAACAATTCAAATCGGGCTCCTTTGGAAAAGAAATAAAGAGCAAATAGATTCTAGTTAAACTTGCACATATATCGCTGTGGAGAGGAAAATGCTCTAAAGTCAAGAGACCGGAAAGCGTCTGTTTGCATTGTTGGCAATCTCGTTGGTCGGGAAAACACTTTGAAGTTGGGGAAAATGGCTGAGTCAGGCAACAGCCCATGATTGAATTAGCTTCTCAAACTAATGGTGTTTGGGACGATTTCTTTTTACCATGCGATATTCCAACATGGTGCAGTCTTATCTCATTTATTTATCTCTGTTTGGCAATGGAAAAAGTTGAGACGCGCGGAAAAGTGATGAGATGATCGTATCGGAATCGAATTAAATTTAATCTGGAAATTCCTTTATATCTCTTGCATGGCATTTGCAAAGGGGCGCCAAGATATGGCACACCCGCCCGCCCGCCCGCATCGCACATCGACCAAAGAATCAGCTAGAGAATGTGCCATTTCCCTTGAACTACATAGAATCTCCACACCATCTGTGTGTGTAAATTTTCTCACTCGCACCCGAAAGCGAGATGGCTTTAATGTGGAATTTTTATGCATGGCGAAATCTGATGGGGGTGGAGGGTGGCGGGCAGGGAGATTTAAGGGTGGCACCATAAAAAATTCCATTCGATTCGAAAGTGGGAACATATTGATGACCGGAAGGTAAACGTTTTATTTGGTTTCGCGTCATGGGAAATGGCATTTTCTCGAATAATCGGCTCCCATTTTATATTCGGCCTCAGCCATCTCTTTGGCTATGGCAGATCCGCAAGAGAGAGAGAAAAGGCAAGTGGAGAGCCAAACCCTCGACATATCGTTTCTTATTTCCCACCCCCGCCTCAGCTCACCCACAACTGTCGTATATTTCCCGACATTCGATATTAGGGGGTGGTTTTCTCATTTTCAGCTCTCACACTCTCCGTGAGGCTGCGGAGAATGTGGTGACAAACCCTCAATTCACGTTTTGGAAATGCTTTCTGGGGAAGTTTCGATTAAAATTCAAATATGGTGAATAAGAATGTATGCCACCCTCAGCCCAGGAGTTGAATGACCCACTTGGGAGTGCTCACGGGATTGCGTGAATGGGGTTGAGATTGATGATGTACGATTGCGAACTCACCCTTCACGGCAACAGCCACTGTGTGGAGCACTTCGAGCTTCTTCTTCGTCGACGGACTCTGGCCGATGCACTTGTACACGCCGGCATCTTGGTACACCACATCCTTGAGAATGGACTGACCTGTGGGCGTGGATAGGCCGGCACCTAGGCCCTTCAGTCGCGCAGTCACGGGGTCCAACTGAGACCAGCACCCAAGGGAACCTGCGATAGAGAAAAATTTACCCATGTTGAGAGCGTCTTTCCTTCGATTTACGTTGACGTTTTTCCTGGAGTGAATGCAGCACGTCTCAAGGAGTTTGTGAACACTTGACAAAGTGCTCAATTCAGGGGTGTAAATGCGATAAACGCAGCTCAGTTTGATTAGATTATGGCTCTTATGGGGGATGTTTGAGGATATAAAATTCAATCATACCTTGCGGGCACTGCAGAGTAACGGCGCCGCCTAATTGAACCTCCAATTGGGCGGGCTTGTAAGGGTTGTGGGAGGCAGCTATCGCCATCTCCTGCTCAATGGGCTCAGACGTTACATCCACCGAGTCGTCTGTGGCGGTGAGAAGAATGGAAATTGCCTTTAATACAAATTACTGCGGAATTTCCTTTGCTCAACTCTCAATTGCAATTATGGATTGCATGCAAATGAACTTTGGGGGGGGGGGGATGATGGAAATCAGTTCATCTGACGCCTTTCTTTTCCCCATGCATGGTGAAAATCAATTACAAATATTGCTTTGAGCCTTTGATAGGAAGGTTTTCAGCGACGATTTGCAATTTAAGCGAGTATCGCAAGAGTGAATTGAGAATAAACTCACATCGAACGCTGAGATAGTATCCAATGCTGGAGTATTGGAAGTTAAGATGTCTCGAAGTGCATTTGTACCATCCAGAGTGTTCTCGTCGGATGGATGTAAAATTGAGGAAACCATCACCAGGTTGGGGAACCTGCAAGAGAGAGAGGGAGCTTTTATGAAATCATACATGGTGAATTGTAACATTTCCACCCTCAAACACTCAAGTGTCCCTTAATTTACCATTTGCAGAGCACGATTGAGTGTGCTGCTGAATTGTGATTGAAGGACTCACGAAGTTGTCAATTGCACAGCAACATATTCACTTTCACATCATCAACACATCTCGTGCAAATGTAATTTTCTGCACGACATTTAAATACATGCCACCCACCACCCAAAGGGTGCATTTAACAGCCACTTACCGGTGTGTCTCCGTCGTCCTTCTGCCACACGGGCGTGCTCGGTGGATTGGAGTCGACGTCGCACTTCAGTGACACTTCAATTCCTTCCCTCAGCGGATACCCAAAGCCCGGTGTTCGGGAAATTGCAAATGATGGCGTATCTGGTGGAGTGACACAAGATAGCGCTCGTATTACTTATATTTGGCCACTTGGAATGGAGTTGGCGAAGTGTTTGTCACTATGGAATTATAGAGTCTTGAACTATAGCCTTCTTGAGATTCCCATCTTGAGATGAGATGAGATGGGAAAACTTGCATATAATTTGCTGGATATAAAATATTTGGGAGATCTTGTGGGAAAGTGTCTCCAATGATTTAAGACATGAATGCAGCTAATAAAACTCACTTCACTCCTTCTGCCAAGGGGCAAATCACTCGCGATTTCAACAAAATTTCAATCATTTCTTGATTTTTTCGGGAGTTTTAATAAAATTGTGATTATTTTATAAAAATTTCAATAACTTCATTGTTTCGTGATTTTTATTCAAATTTTTGAATATTTCATACAAATTTTTATTTTCATTTTTATTATTTTATTCAAAATTTGATTATTTTATACAAATTTCCAAATTTTCTTGATTTTTTCGTTGGTTTTTATTCAAATTTTGTGTATTTCATACAAAATCTAATTATTTTTTGATTATTTTATTCCAAATTTTATTATTTTGCAATTTTACTTGGAAAGCAATCATTTTCTGAATATTTTTTCTCAGATATTTGATTATTTGATTTTTCCCATACAAATAAATATTCAATAGTTCAATATTTGATTGAGACAATTAAGTTTCCTCAAAAATCGCCTTGTGACTTGCCCCTTGCCTTTTTTCTTTCCTCTTCTTTGTTGTCTGCAAAGATGCAAATGCTGACTTTGACCAGCTTTTCATCCCTGATGCGAAGAAGGAGAAATTCTTCAATGGAAAGTCATGATGAAAATGAAAAAGTAAAGACGTTTCATTGCTCTTATCTCGGTCTTAAGTCATTTATAGTAATCGTTGGTTGTTCAGAGAGAGATAGAGAAAATAAGCAGGAAAATCCAGCGTAAATGAGCATAATATGTATAAAGCCCAGTTTTCTTGTACTTGAGATGAAAATCTAGAGGAATTTCTCGGCAAATATTGCAGAATGCAGTTCCTAAGATCCTATTATAATAAGCTTCTCCAGCACTTCAAGTCTCCAATTCCATTCGCCTTGCACAAAGTCTTGCACAAAGTGCATCCATACTCACATTGCACATCAAGGAGGAGCGAGGCGTTCTGGCGGATCTTCAAGGTGGGATGTTCCATGACGCAAAGGATGCGTGCATTGTGATGTGCCCGATAAACTGTCGGCAATTTGGCCTCCGAAATGGCACCGCTGTTAATTCTGTACGGTTCCCTATCCTGCATTTGGAGGGATTGAAGGGTGTGTGTGTTATTAAAGGATAAGCAGAGACATTCGAGGACTCAGTGTTTTAATTTATGCCGAAACAGTTATGCAAATCTGTGCTGAGGATTTCCATGGAAATCTCATCTGTGCGCGACTCCCATTCTTCCCATATACTTTGGCCGACGCAGCGACGATACTTTTGGGGGTGGCAAAGTGAGGGAAAATCGTCTTTTGCGGTTGAAAAGTCTCATGAAAATTAAATGAGGTCACATTGTGCACATTTCCCACCAAACATCTTAGTCGGAGAAATGCTCCTTTTTCCCCACCCCCAAAGAGTGTTTTGGGGTGAGCGAACCACGTGAATGGCCCGTGATTTGTGCGCCACACACCAGAGAAAGCCAACAATGGCCATTCACAGCCAAGCACTGTCGTCAATTGAGATCCCAATTTGGGAATTGAGAACTCAAGAATCGGACAATTGCGGAAATGAACAAAGAGCCGCAAATATTTATGCTCTCTCTCTCTGGCTTTCCTTCGCCACAATCATCTCCGTGGGGATGGCATTATAGATAAGAAAAGTGTGACTTCAAAGTTTCGCATTTGCTTTGTGTTGTCTCTTTCTAAAGTGTATTAAGCTCTCTCTCGGAAAGTGTTTTAGTTTTAATTGCCCAACATCTAAAAGAGATGGGCTCTTTTGGGCCAACATGACGTGTAGGCATTTAGATAAGGAAGTGTTTTTGGCAAAAGTCATAAATTTCACCACTGCATTAACCACATGATTTGTGTCAGTGCCTGAAATTTGAATTATGCTATCAGAAGTCTGTGCACAGACAGAGAGATTTTATCTGGCGGTGGCAAATAGCATTAAATACACATATTTCAATACAAAATTTGCCTCATAAATTCTCAATGATAAACTTTATTATAATTGCAAGTTACTTAACAAACCTCCCCACAAAGAGGGGGTTGGGAAAGCTCTCAAGTCTTCGCTGCGTGGCGAGAGAGCTTTTGTCGTCTCGGGAGCTCAATGAATTTTGTGTGTGTGTGTGTGTGTGTTGTTTCCTTTTGCCTTTCAGCCCACACTTAAGCTAATTATTCAAAACGAGTTGTGAATTGTACCAACTTTCAATTCATTCAAGAACATCCCTTCCTTGTCCCCACCACGCGTGAGTCTTCTGTTTTCTCTCGCAATACACAGTGTTTTTCCTCATCTGCTTATCGCGCTGCGGAATTTCTCTGTGTGTGTGTGTTTGAGAGCCTTTTGCCACCCCTGGAAAAGTTGCACGCGGAAGTGAAACTTTCCCATTTTGCCAATTCATCGCGAAAAGCCAAGGGGATAGTCACTCGCGATTTGAGACCAATAACTTTGTGATTATTACTGAAATTTTGATTATTTCATACAAATTCTGATTATTTTGTGATTTAAATTCAAATTGTGATCATTTTTTGATTATTTTCAGAATATTTGATTAAAACTTGATTATTTCATATAAATTCTAATTATTTGTTGAATTTTTTTATGTGAATATTAAATCAACATTTGAATATAATTGAATAATTGTTAATATTCGGAATATTCTGATTCATTGACTGAAAATAATCTTTTTTTTATTATTATTATTCAATTCAGAATTTCATTATTTTGATTATTTTGTCATTTTACTTGGGAAAATAATCATTTTTTTTAATTATTTTACTCAAATAATTGATTGTTTGATGAACATAAAGTTTCCTCAAAAATCGCCTCGTGACCTGCCCCTTGGGAAAAGCCTTTCCCATCTTTTCTTTTGTCTCGGTGGGCAATGCTGAGTGAAAATCTTGGGACTCACTTTGTCATTCTTGACTTCCTGCAGTTGTGTCAATTCGGCTGTGACTTTCTGGGCGTGACGATCCACGCCGGGACTCAGGAGGATCTCCCACGTGAGCACGGGCTTGGGGTTGCCACCCTCGCTGATGCACGCCAGGCTCAGCTCGGAATTCTCCTTGACAGGTACAAAAATGTTTCCGGCGTCGAGACGACGGGAGTCAATCAATAAATATGGTGGTTTTGGACGGTCTGCAATTAAGGCGAGGCGGGAAAAGGGGTGAGTTAAAATCGATAAATTATATGGGAAAATTCTGCAAATACAATCATGGTTTTCTGCTTATATTTTATTCACATCCATTTGGGATTTTCGCTTATTGATTTTGGCTTGCATTCACCCAGTGTTTATAATTTTTATTTTACAGCTTTTTCGACAAATACTCAATTTCACCACTGGCTTTCAGATTGACGTGTGAAAAGCTTTCCGGGAAATATCCTGAAATACAATATTTCCCTAACAATTTCGCTATGAAACCTTGTATAAAACTCGTGAAATCACAAAAAAATACCTTTTAGAGTATAATTTTAAATACAATTTCAATCGATTTGCGTAAGATAAAAAATTAAATTAATCCTTTTTCACGCAGATTTAACGCTCTTTGCAACTTTACGTTTTCATAGCTTATTTTGGCAGCACTTGTGGCAAAATAAGATTAAAATACGAACGAAAAGGCGATGAAAGGCGAAATTTGGAGTTTATTTAATACGAATTTCAGGTGATGGAAAATCAATTATTTTCCTTGGAAACGATCGAAAGATGTCCGGAAACACTAAACCTCAATCTGGTGCTTTGAAATGTGCACAAATGGTCAGAAAAATTCAATAAATATGTGATTATTTACATTCAAACACAATTACTGTCTATTTCCTTGGTTTTCACGTCAATTTTCAGACTTTTCTTGTCTTTATTGGCTTCAGACGTCAACTTTTGATATGTTTCAGGCTCCACAGAAGATAAATTAACCACATTCATATAATATACACACCGTAATTATTAGTAGTTTATTAAAAATGTTATGAACTGAAAGTTGCAACGACCGGATTTTCTGTTGTTGTTATAAAATAATGAACATAAACCTCATTTGAAGATACAAGAGGTGAAGAATGTTGTGCATGAAAATGTCAAGAAACGATGTTCAGTTTTCTCTTTTTCCATATTATCTTTTCCTTTTGGCAGAAGTGGAAAGAGTGTGACTATCGACACAAGAGAAATATTAGCACTGTGTCAAGCACAAAGTGTCGACAGAGTTGAAAATGTCTTGAATTGGAATTTCCTGTGGAATTCGCATTCAAAAATTTTCCAATATAAATTCTGAGCAGCTTCACAATTGTGTGTCTTCTGAAGGAATATTGCAATGCAAGGTAGACTGAAGTGTGTACGAATATCCTCTCATGAGAGGTTTAAAATGGAGTTTAATTTGGAAGGTTGAAGCTGTGAAATGCAGCTGAAAATGAGGGGGTTTTTCATGGGGGGGTGAAAACATGTAGGATTTCTGGGAAAATAAACTCCGAATACGAGATGTGAATTTCCTCATTCATGGCTTGCATGGAAAGGGTTTCGAGGTTAGGAAATTTATGCAGCCAAGAGGAAATATTACACATTTCCCACTCACTATTGTGCCAATGTCTTCGCTTCACACTCCGACCATCAGACACTTTAAGTTCTTCCCCAACAATGGAAGGGTGAATTTCACCGCAAAAAAAAGCAGGTGGAAAAGAGAGAGAGAGGCAAAAAAGACATGCATGAATCACAATGAAGAAGTTCACCTCACAGAGATTTTTCCAGTTCTTTCTCAACAAGACTTTGTGTTTTAAATTATTGAGTATATAATATGTATTCCTCACAGGCAAATATTGTGCTCCAATTTAACTTCCTGGGATTTCTTCACTCGGTTCACAGACTGACTTTACAATATTTCTCACAGAAATTCCTCCAGTGTTGGGCAGGATGACCGAAAAGTTTCCCTCTTTCGGTGTGTGTGTGTGAAGAAAAAGAAAGTTAATTTAATTCTTTAACTTTCCACCCCAGCGAGAATGATCCGCGCACCGGTGTGGGAAAACAGGAAAAGTCCTCCAGCTTCAGTTTTATCAATGTTGACAAGTGAGTTGGAAAGGCGAACGTGTTCCATCCGTGGCCAATACCTTCGGGGCGGTGAAAACTCTGGGATTTGCCTCGAAAATATACTTCAGCCATTTTATCGCTCATTTAACCTGGGCGAGAGTTTTCTCGCCACCCACCAATTAAGCCGGACAGAATGAGGAGCGTCTAATTCCGCCGCAATGTCTCTGCCCTTGGACTGTTTTTTTTTTTTAATGATCCTCCGCGTAATCTTCATGGTTATTGGAAGAAATTCTCCTCAAGACATTCATAAGAGTTTCCAGGGCCAGAACACACCTAATTGCTGCGCCTCAGCTCAAGTCTTGGCTCGAGTAGAGAATAAGAAAGGGCTTTGAGATACATTATCTCATTTTGAATTAAGTCACTTAAGAGCTGAACACTATAAACACAGGAAGGCAGCAAAAGGATCATTTGGAAGGACAGAAAATTATATTTTAACGCTTTCCTTTTCCCTTTAGTGATCTAAAATGCATGAAAATTTGTTGTGATAGGAATTTATACAGTGGAAATAGATTTAGTCTTTTGCTTCTCAATTAAACACGAGCTTAATAGCTTAAAATACTGATTTTAATAAATGATTGCGCCCACAGGCATTTTTCCTCATATGACCAATAAATGTTATTTGTATTTCTCAGAAAAATAGCAGAAATGATTGCGATATTAAAAACGAAACACACTGGAACATAAAAAAAATTCAACTGGTTTAATAAAATATTCAAATTTATTAATCGCAATCGAAATTATTATTATATTGGAAAACACATCTTTGCACTTTTGCCTCAAGTGAAATATTTTGGTCTAATTTACTATTTATTCCCATGTATTCTGATTAAGGGGAACTTAACTTTGTGATTATTCAATTATTTTTTGATTTTATCATACAAATTTCCAATATTTCTGTAATAAAATATTTATATATTTCATAATTTTTTTCAATTTATTGATTATTTTCCGAATATTTAATTCAAATTTAAATATTTGATTATTTGCTCCACAATTTGCCACAAGAGGGCAGCAGATTAACTTCTAAAGGCGCTTTTAAACCACTCAAATTTGCCATTTGTTTAAATCACAGAATGAGCAAATGTTAATTAATTAATATTTATTTAAATATTTTGCTGAAAATATTAATTTTATTGATTATTTTCCAATTAAACGTGGAAAATAATCATTTATTGATTTTTTTTCTTCAAATTTTGATTATTTGACTGTTTCCATACAAAGTGAATAATCAATATTAAAATGTTTCCCCTTAATTTTGGTGATATTTTTGGGAAATGTATTTATTTATTTGTTGAAACGAGCATTTTATGTGCAATAAAATGATTGAATCACTCTTCTTTTATCTCTGTTAAAAATAAGCTTTCAAACTTGCAACGATTCCGGAATTCTCGGTCATTTGGATGCTTTCAAGACTCTTCGCAAGTTCTCCAAAAAAAATTTCCCGCTGACGTGTAATTTTCCCTTCAGTCAGAAATCGAATGTCTGAAATATTTGCCGAAGAACACTGACGACGTCTGAAATTGCGAAATTTTGCTGTGGGTGCCAATTTATGACGGGGAATGCGTGGGCGGGGAGGCAGCTTGACAAAGAAATGAAGTGGAATTTCATAGCGCGAAGACGGAAGAGAATTATTCAACGCGAAATTAAATTCGTATTTCGGAAGAGAGACACGCGGAAATCAATTTGGCGGGACGCAAAGCTGAGAGAATGAGCAAAAAAGTGTCCTAATTGGGCTTCTCAAGGGGGAAATTATATGTCTAAAATCTTTACACCACTTCCAAATACTTCCAAATTTGCCTAACACTGAATGACTATATTTGAGGTTATGTTTGAGTTCAATACACTTTACAGTGTTTTTTGGCATCAAATGCGCAGAGATTAGCGATCTCTCCGACTTAAGCATAAGAATTGATGCACAAATAATAAATTGAATGCGAATTATTCACTAAATCTTTCCGTGGTTCATTACATAACCTAGAAAATGATTTTTCTTTATCTATACTGCATGAAAACCGAATGAAATCCCAATAATTGGTGTAATTTGTCAGGAAAATAAGCACTCATAAAAGGAATTTTGTAAGCTTTTCAACACTTCCACTTCTTAAGCACTTCTGCTGAGTTGTACACCACTTCTGGACTGTATTATCTCCCCCTTGGGGCTTCCCTGAGATGCCTTTTTTTCCTTCGGGGCGGAAGTGTGCGAAGGCCTGGAAGTTCGGTGGTTTGATTAGCTCTGCCACCTTCGAGTGTGAATTTCGTCTGTCGTCCGAGGAAATTCCCAAGTGGGGACACTTGACAAATAGAAAGCAACTCAGAGCAATCAATCACGGACTCTCGGGCCAGGATGCACGAGGGCGTGGATGATGAGGAAAAAATGAGCAGAGTCAGTCGCATCCTTGCGGCAAAGGTGAGAGGAAATATTTGTGGGTGGCAGTGATAAATGCCAACGTCCCAAATGGGGACACCCAAGTGTTGTTAACACCACTTTATTCATTAAAATACTGACACGACAACTCACCACCGGAGCCAGTAAATTAGGCTAATTGAAGTGAATTGTGTCTCGAACACGTAACAGGGGAATGTCTCATTAATTACTTTATTTACACTCACTGCCTCTCTCTCTCTCACCCTCCCGAGGCACCGATTTATGCATGGGAATTTATATCACTCCATCCCTCTCGGCACTTTCCTGCATCCCCCGAAGGGTGGCAATCCCGGTGAAAAATCATCGCCGCCCCCGGAGACTTTATGATGTCAATCAGCGCCTTCTTCCACCCAAGACATTCCCAAGAACACTCTCAAGACATGTGACCCCGTCGCCGGAAGGAGGAAAAGTCAAATTATAAATTGGAGATTCGAATTGTCAACTTCGCTGCCAATGATATATTTGGAATGCATAATCCCGCTTTATCATTCGCTCCTTCTTATCTCGAGGGAGCAGATTTTTCTCTCTCTCCCCCCAGCAGAATCACATTTCATCCATTTTTCACGAAAATGACAGCGATTCCCGAACTTCGATTGCGCCACCCACAATGCCTCGCGATTCTCTAACACACCCCCCATTCCACGG